TAGAACAGGATTATATGAGAAGAAGGGTCTAACTTGTGCTGATTGCCCATCTTGGATTTCTTTTAAGGTGCAACTTCGATATTACGGCATATTGTCATTCCTCTTGAGTTTGTAAGGAAGCTGAAGTGAGCGGTAGAGGGTAAAAACACCAGAGAACAAAATTGAGCAATATTTTCCAAGTGAGCATTGTTTTCCTGTCATTTTTATGTGTTTTAATTTAGCCGGTGTTGGGCGAGTAGTTCAGAGAGAAGGGATTTATTATTTTAAAATGAAGCCATTCTCTAGTTCTTCACTTCCAACTTCCTGAGTCACCTTTGTTTTCCAAACGTCTGTTGACTCTTTTAAGAACCATTTACCGTATTTACTTATGTAGTTAACCTCCTTGGTTATTCGCGTTCCCTTCCCTCATGCCTATCATTTGAAGAGGAAAATCATGACACTTTTTTCTTTCCACAGGGCTGTTTAAAAAATTCTACTTTAAAATAGCAACTGGCTGACGGTTCAACAAGTCAGCTTCACACCTGGGGGTGGAGTGCTTTTTCCGTAGGACACGTTTTTTCCACAAAGTGAAATTCATTTGTTCCAGGTGTGCAACAAAAGAGTTACCGGAGCTGTTGGTTGTTTTCTCTCTCTACTCTGTAATTGCTTAGAATCAGTGTTACAAAACTTTGAAGTCTGTTGACAGACTTCCTTATTTCTCTTATTATCTTAGTCCCCTTGAGGATGGCACACTTGGCAGACGTCTCCAATCTCCTATTGCATGTCTAGCACACACAGTGGGAGTCAGTCCTGTTCTCTTTCCCAGATGTGGCTTGAAATGAACTCTCAATGTAGCTCCCCAATAAGCTCCTACTAGGGAGTGACAACTGGGCATCCCTGCTTTATGCATACTCCTTGGGAGTTTTTAGCCAGTCTGTGGCTCTACCTGCTGTTTCTTCGCTGATAACACCTAAATCTAAGTCTTGAGTTCCATATCCTCACCTAGGCACACTTCCATCTATATTCAGCTGTCTCTTGGGTATTAAACATCACTTTAGAGCCAGCATGATGAAAAGTGATCATTTCCTTTTCTCTCCCCAACCTCATCTTCCCGTGGGCTCTGTATTACAATGAATAGCATAAGCTAGCCGCCGGGATGTTCTCTGTAACCTCTCCTTCTGTGTTAGGATACAGTTAACTAGCCTGTAACTCCTTTCTGTTCCTCACCTTCACGCCTTCCTTTCTCCTCCTCCTGACTCTGCCATTATTGGGTTCATCTCGGATCCCTGGCTCACCCTGCTCCAAGCCATTCCTCACACTGCTGGAAAATCAGTGAGCCCTCCCTGCTTTCTCTCTTGAACTGTTTCAAACATAAATGTATATGAAATAGCGTACAAACACCCACGTACTTACCTCCAGGATCATAATTCTAAAAGTCCTTTTTTTCCACGATGATCCAAGTTGGGAGGAAAATCTTAAGAAGAAAATATTTTGTTTGCCTTACTCTTGAAGAGGTGAGAACCAGGCTACATCTTCTAACTGCTATTTGGATTTCAGGGTTCTTGAAACTTTATGGCCTTTTGAGGTGGCAGTGTTTTGAGACAAATATTTAGGACTTGTTTTCAAAATAACTTTTCTGCCAGAAACTGCAACCCATTTACTGAGGAATAACATCTTGAAAATTGCTTAACACAGCACTTTAATTTCAGCATTGTTATACAAATGACAAAGAATGTTTCTTTTTAAAATTAAGAAAAATTCAATTCAAGTACAGTTGACATTATTAGTTTCAGGTTATAGTTACATTATAGTGATTTAACTTTTATATACATTACGAAATGCTCACCAGGATAAGTGTAGTTAACATCTGTCACCACTCAAAGTTATTGTAATATTATTGACTATATGCCCTACTGTGTACTTTTCATCCCTGTAACTTAATTATTTTATAACAGGAAGTTTGTATCTCTTAATCCTCTTCACCTGTTTCTCCCAGCTCCCCACTCCTGTCCCGTATGGCAGCCATCAGTTTGTTCACTGTATTTCTAAGTCAGTTTCTGTATTTTTGGGCTTTTCCTTTTCTTTTTTAGATTCCATATGTAAGTGAAATCATATGGTATTTGTCTTTCTTGGTGTCACTTATTTCACTTAGCATAATATCCTCTACATCCATCCATGTCCTTGTGAATGACAAGATTTCATCTTTTTATGGCTAAGTAATATGCCATTGTGTGTATGTACTATGTGCTACATCTTCTTTCATTCATTCATCAGTGAACACTTAGGTTGCTTCCATTATGTTGGCTATTGTAAATAATGCTGCAATAAACGTAGGGGTATATACTATTTTCAAATTAGTGTTTTCATTTTCTTTGGCTACATATCCAGAAGTGGAATAATGGATCATATGTTAGCTCTGTTTTTAATTTTTTTGAGGAACCTGTCTATACTGTTTTCCATAGTGGCTACACCAATTTACATTCCCAGGACAGTGCACAATGGTTCCCTTTCTCCACATCTAGCCAACACTTGTTATTTCTTGTGTGTTAGTACTAGTCATTCTGGCTGGTGTGACATGATATCTTGCTGTCATTCTGATTTGATTTTCCCAATGATTAGTGATGGTGAGTATCTTTTCATGTGTCTGTAGGCCTTCTCTATGTTTTCTTTGGAAAAATGTCTATTCAGGTACTCTACCCATTTATAAATCAGAGTGTTTCTTTGGTTTTAAGTTGTATGAGTTCTTTATGTATTTTGGATACTACCTGCTTGTCAGATGTGTATTTGAAAATATATTCTCTCATTCAGTAGGTTGCCTTTTCTTTTAGTTGATGGATTCCTTTGAGGTACAAGGCTTTTTAGCTTGCTGTAGTCCCACTTGTCTTTGCTTTTGTTTCCCTTGCTTGTGGAGACATGTCCAGAAAAAAATTGCTAAGGCTCAGGTCCAAGAGTTTACTGCCTGTGTTTAAGGAATTTTATAGTTTCAGCTCCCACATTTTGGTCTTTAATGTTTCAACTTTATTTTTGTTTATGGTTCATTCTTCTACATGTGGCTGTCCGGTTTTTCCAACACCATTTATTGAGGAGACTACCTTTGCCCCATTGTATATTCTTGCCTCCTTTGCTATATGCTAATTGACCATATAAGCTTGGGTTGATTTCTAGTCTCTATTCTGTCCCATTGGTATTTGTGCCAGTACTATACTGTTCTGTTTATGATAGTTTTGTAGTATAGGTTGAAATCAGGGAGTGTGACCCCTCCAGTTGTGTCATTCTTTCTCAAGATTATTTGTCTATTCAGGGCCCTTTGTGGTTTCATACAAATTTTAGGATTATTTGCTCTAGCTCATTAAAAAATGCCATTGGTATTTTGATGGTGATTACATCCAACCTGTAAATCTTTTTGGGCAGGATGGCCATTTTGACAATATTAATTCTTACTGTCTGAGCACGGGATAGCTTGCCATGTTTGTGCCTTCTGCAGTTTCTTTCATCAATATCTTACAACATTTTATATGTCATGAAATACTAGACTTAACATTTCTTAGGGATGAGAGTTTTACAGTTGTACTAAAATTATAACAGACTAATCATCTCACTTTATAATATTTTAAATGAGTCAGTAACTTTGTTGATTTGTGTTGACTTCCATAAATTTGGGAATGTTTCTCTGTTTTTATTATTAGGTATGATTTAATAAAAGTGGCTTCATATATGGCATTTTGGCCAACATTTTTTTCATGAATGTATTTATTAGATGTTTTAAAAGTGATAGCATGATATTAAAAATTAGGCTTGATGAATTGTTTTCTGTTTTCAGAAAAGTTTAATTAACATGAAATAATTTAAGAGAATGATCATTTATATAAAACCAAAGGATATCTGTCAGTTTGTTGCTTTTTCTTTGTTCTCTTTTGTGAATTTTGTCAAATAATTTATTAGTAGAATACAAGAAGTATTTTTACATAACAGAATCTGAAAGAAATCTTTTATTTTTGTTTTGGTGTTTTAAGGTTACTTTAAGCTAGCTAAATTACTTTGGATGAGTGATTTAAATTTCTTTGGGTCAAATTCTTGCATTATAGGGCTTTCTCTTAAGAACAGAGGGAAAAAATACAGATACATAGACATATAAGTAACATTCTGTAGAGTATGTCAAAGGTTCACATTTCCATGCTGTACTGTCAACTTGATACACAGTATTTAAAACTAAGGCTTGGACTCATATTTTGTTTGTTAAATCAATTTATTATCTTACTTCCAATGTTAAATACTTTGAATTGCTTTGTATGTTTAAAAGACAGTCTTAGTTTCTCTTGGTAATATGGTAATAAAATGAAGTAAAAGTGAAGGAAAGCATGTGTGCGTGTATGCTACTGCATGTAAGCAGTTTGTGTGTGTTGGGGGGGCTACTGCATGTAACCAGTTTGTGTGTGTGTGTGTGTGGGGGGCTACTGCATGTAACCAGTTTGTGTGTGTGTGTGTGTGGGGGCTACTGCNCGTGTGTGGGGGGGCTACTGCATGTAACCAGTTTGTGTGTGTGTGTCGGGGGGGGAGGCGCTACTGCATGTAACCAGTTTCATAGTGGCTTAGCTGTAAATGAAGGTCCTTCTTCCCAGTTTCCTCATCAGCCCAGGATTCAGTGCTAAAAAGTCGGTTACTGTGAATTTAGAAGTTTTTCCATTTTTATTTACAAAGATAATACTTTTCATGAACAGAGTCTTTTTCATGAACTCAGGTGTTTACTCTCCTCCTTTTCTTTGTTTTGCCTCCTTTTTCTTCCAAGCTCAGTGACATGCACTACAAAAAACATAGGGCCGTATAGTTAGCTTTAATCATATCATGTATCAGCTTTCTGTACAATTCCTTGATTTTACAAAAGAGAAAAATGTCTTTACATTTTAAGTACTCCCTCTCCTTTTGCTCCCCGCAGAGTCCCCATTTTGCATTTATATTCAGACGTGTTCAGTGTCTGGCCTTTGCTGATTTTACTCACTCTATTTTCTCTTCTCTGCTTTTAGTTAACAGCCCGGTCCTTGCCTGCTGTGCAGTCCGACGAGAGACTTCAGCCTCTGCTTAACCACCTCAGGTAACTGGAAGGCACAGTCTTGTTGTGCTTTTATAAATGCAAGGACATGAAAGTGGGTTAAGTATACTGAAGTGATGAAAACCCCATTCAGTAATTAAAGACTTAGAGCTTTTTTCTTGCTTTAATTCTGTGATTTAAGTTGAAGTTCTTGACACAATGCACTTGTCACCCTTGATGTTAGAGTACTATAAAAAGCTCTTTTAATTCAATACAAGTGTGTAGAGCTAATTGATGAGTTTAAGCTAAAATCTGTAGAGGTGACTTACTACAGAGATATCTCAAAGGCTCTCTGTATGGCTAAGACATATTTTTGAGATCTCCACATATTGTAGTGGGGGATAGAGGAAAAAGGCAGGAATTATTTTCTAAACAGAAAATCATATAACCTCATTTAAAGAACATACTTAGAAAATACAGGAAAGGCAAAGGAAAAGCCCATCACCACTCAGAAGTAATGCGTCCTTCTGTGCTGTTGTAAAACCTAGCGCCGAAATTATACTTCTGTACTTTTCATTTTTAAAACAAGTACTGTAAGCCTTTTTTTTTCCTTTTTACTAAGAGCTTTATAAAAGCACAGTTTTTAGTGACTGCGTGATATTTTCTTGTGTGTAGTGTACTTACCTCCGTTTGTGGGGGACATTCAGACCATTTCCATTTCTTCTCAGTAGTATGAAAATTGCCATATGTAAACCTTTGTCTTGATTTTGTGATCATTTGTGGAGCACAGATTTTTCAGAAGTGGAATTAACTTTGCCAAAGCATATGAACCATTTTAAGGATTTAAGTATATGCATTTCTTTTTTAAAAACTTGTCTTTGCACATTATACAAGATTGTCTGTACTACTGTACCCTGGAGAAGATGGGGCAGCCAGAACAGTTGCTCGTTTATTAGTTAATCATAGAGATACTATTTTCATCACTTCATTTGGTCATGTATGGTTTTAAAACATCCATTTATATTTTGGATAGTTAAATCCCACTGTCTGTGTCTTTGCCCATTTATTAACATCTGGTTTTATTTATCTTATGTACTTTAGATAGAGAGGATGGTGATTCTTTGTTGTGTTTGTTACTTTTTTGAAAACTTTTGATTATGTTGTACTGTCCGAGGTACTTACATCCACAGGGTCGTTCATTCTTTTAAAACTTGGAATATCCCTTCTCATTCAGAAACTCAGATGGATATTAATTTCCAGTATATTTTAGTATTCTTTATTTTCCCTCCTCCCTTCCCTCTCTTCTCCCTCTTTTCCTCCTTTCTTACCTTTCTCTCTGGTAACTTTTCCTTTCCAGGCACTTTTTAACCTCAGAATTGTTTTGTCAGGGGAGGGGGAGGAAGGGAGTTCAGGCAACATTTCGCCAGGACTAAGTAGCATAAATACTATACATAAGTGTCACATTTCTGAGGGCGCTGTGTCAGAGTCACTTCTCGGCTCCCCCTCTTGCCCGTCCCGATTCGTTGGTTTTGTCTTCTGAGTCTCTCTCTCACTGTAGGTGCTTTTTATTTGTTCTCCTGATGTGCCTGCTTTCACATCATTGCCACAGTGATTGTATTATTCTCTGGCTAAAAACTTCATTCTCTGAATCCCCATTTCATTCTGGATGAAGACTGAACTTCTTAGCCTGGCATATGAAGTCCTTCTGGAACCGTCCTGGCCTGTCTATTGGACTCTTCTTTCAGTACTGGCACCCTAANATGTGTTTCCATAATACCCCCATGGCAACATCTGTATGACCAAACCGACGGTGTTGTAATCATTTGTTTGCTTGTCTGATTATTCCATTATAGCATGAGCTGCTTGAGAGCTTGTGAAGTGACTGTCATTCTTGTATTTCCAGTGGCTGGAACAGTATCTGGCACATGATAGATATTCATTATGTGTTTTGTTGAATGAATGAATGTGTGTTATGAGTGATATTTTGGGCTTTTTTTCTGCATAAAGTTTTTATAATTTATAAGTCATATTGTCACAATCGTTTCTCTTAAAACCACTGATTCAGAAGATAGGAACCTAAGGGCTAAGTCTCACCTCTAGTAAATACTTGATTCTGTGAGATGATGGAATGATGGATTCTCTTTCCTCCACCTCAGTATGGTAATTGTCAACTAGAATTTAGATTAACTACTGACACTTCTCTTTGAGTCCTTGAAACTTGCACAAACTGTACATTCGTTTAGGGCTTTCATTCTCTGTGGAATTCACGCGTAACTGGTTGCTAGGCAACCGGGACTAGATGCTACATGTAATACACACCAACTGAAACCAAATGGTTTCTCATTTTATTCTCATCTCAGAGGTACCTGTATGTAGGGTAGCAGCTGATGTGCACAGTCTGACACTTACTGCTTATAAAGTAACCTTTGATATCAAGTTAACCCTGATAATCTTTCAGGCATATTGAATTGTCTCTTTTGGCTGTCTAAAAGTAATGTTTTTCCCTTATCTTTCTTTTGCTTGGGCCAAAATAGGAGAGAATACTACCTGGTTTGACAAACTCTAATGATGGCCTTGTTACAAAAAACTAATCATCATTGATTTGCATGGACTCTATAGTTTAAATGCTGCCTAGAGGGGATGAATATTAGGAGGTTAAGACTGAGATCATTATCAGATCTAATTTCCTTTAGTACCTCTAATGATAAAAGAAGAACAATGAATGGCATTTTAATTAAATTTGTCAATAAAACTAATTTGGGAGATGATATAAATACCTGTAAAAATTGAAGTAGTAATACAGAGAAAATCTCAAATCATTTTACAGGACTTAGACAAAATCTCAAATCATTTTACAGGACTTAGACACTCAAAAAGGATTAGTGTAATACTTTGCTAACATGATAATCTGGGATACTGCTTAACAATATATATTAGTCTAAGGATGTAGAGGTGATATGTCCAAATTTTCTTAGTTGAACCTAGTTCTCTACTTAAAAGCTAAATTAAGCACAGCTAAACATTTTGCTTTGGTGTCTTATGGACATGCAAACTTATTTTTATTCCTTAGTAGTGTCCATCCATTAGTAACTGAGTGCCTACTGTGTGCTAGGAATAAAATGTAAGACATAGTTTCTGTTCTCAAGGAATTTACAGTTTGATTTAATTTGAGAGATAGACACTTAAACACGTTACAGAAATTGTAAGCCTTTATAATAAAATTAAACACAAAGTACATACTTCCATTAACTGTGTCCCACACTGAATTATTTCCTTAAGTAATGGGGTCATGACGTACTTGTTTTGGATTCCATACTGCCTAGCCCAGTAGGGACTCATAGTGGGTACTCAGATGGGACTGAAATTTAAATCTCACTGGGAGGATGCTGTTGTCAGTAACTAAGAAGGAGCGGAGAGATCAGGGAATGAGTATGGTTGCTGAGATGATGGGTTCAGCAGTGTCAGACGTTTCATACTTCAGATGCCTGTGGGTCACACAGGAGGAATGGTTACCAAGTAGCTGAACACAGACAGTGTTTTAAGAGTGCGGCTCATACCAGACAGAGCCGTTTGCTCAGCATCACAGTGTAGGTGGCGGTTAAAATCAAGGGAATGGTTGCCATCACTCAGGGAGGAGACACAGTGATGAGAAGAGGGCAGCTGGCCCGGAGTAGAAGCCGTAGAACATCAGTGTTAAGTGACTTACGATGGGCAGCAGTGGGGATAGGAGAAGAGTTGAAAGAGAAGCCAGTAGACATCCCGGGGAGGAATCCTGAATGAAATAGGAACACAGCAAGCAATAGTGGGATCGGAGAAGGTAAGGGAAAGACCTCAAAAAGGAATGCTGAACCCTGTCAAATGCTGTAGGAATGTTTGGCTAGAACTACATGATGTCAGTTGGATTAGGCTTGCAGGACCCACTAGTGGCTTAGCCACAGCGTTGTACCCACGCACGTCTGGTTCTTGTGGCGCGTCAAGGAGGAAATGAGAAATGAGGCTGTGGAGATGCAGGGAGTGTAGGCTTCTCCTGGCAGAGCGAGGAGGGAACGAGGGCTGCATCCATAAGCTTCGTGGCGGGAGAAAATGTTTTATTTTTTCCTTTGATTGGAAAGATTAATGTATTTTACAAGGTAAGGGAGCGAGGAGGTCTGTGGAGTAAGAGGAAATAACCGAAGTGGCAAGTTCCGAGAGGAGGCAGCGGGAGGTGGGCCCAGGGAGTGAGACTGGCCAGAGCTCACGGAGTGCCTCCCAGCCGGCTTTTTAGTGCATCTCAGGACGGCCTGCTGGGGACAATGGGCGGCACTTACTGGTATCCCTACATTAAAGTTTGGCGATGGAGCCTCGGCAAGCTCCTGTTAAGTAAGCCCGATTTTTCTAATGAAACATACTACACTGCCCTTCCCTCAAAAGAGATGAGTGATTCCATAAGACTTTACCATTTTTCAAAATTGATACCAAGAGCAGCTCGATTGCAAGAAATAAACTTGCTTAGACTTGCAGAAAATGCTAAATGTCAAATGCCACTGGGAATTTGTGTAAGTCATCATTTCTACTTTCCTCAAATCACATATCATTAGATATCAGCTAATAAGTGTCATCTCAGTGTGACTTTACTGCATCTTCTAGGGTGAATGATACGGTATACTGATTTCTTAATTTGGAGACATGTGAAGGTCTTGGGATATTCCTCTGAGTGTAGAAGTTTATTGTAAATAAATGTCTTTGCTACTCTGGTGATGGTACATATGGGATAATATTTATATAATGGTATTAGATTATCAAGGGTATATGTTAAAGATTATTTTAATTTATCATATCACTTACAGATGTAAGGTAGAAACAGGAGAGACTGGAGAGGGAAACGTGTGGTACCTTTAGTTGTGTGATTGAAATTTTTTTTCCCTAGAAAATAACGTCCTTCCCCACAGTGTATGTATCTTCCTCCTTCACCCCTCCACCTCAAGATATGAAAGGAATGGGGACAGCATATAATAGATCACTTTAGTAGTTGCTCTCATTCTAATGTTTTGCCCTTAACTAAAGAATAACTAATTTCTAAAACT